GAGAATGAAAAGGAAAAGAAAATGGGATGATATACGCCCATTCATTGAAGCAGAAATGGGAAAGGGGGCTATAGCTAGGGATTCTATAAGGGTTTAGGCAAGAGGAAATGGAACCTGCTGCAATATGACAGTACATATCCAGCCGTTTGATAGGGGTCAACTACTATTCAGGGATCATGTCGGGGTAAATGCAGGAATGGACAAGAAATGGAAGTTACTATTCATGGTTTATGATGGGGCGTATCTGGGAAGTCACATAAAGGAAATGAAAGGGAATAGTAAATAGCAAGTTACATCGAAACCAATTTCTATGTATGAGCGTGTACAAGGAGGACCCCCTCAACAGTTGGGGATATAGGGGTTGTTACCCCCAACAATGGAGAATCAAGCGGCTAAAAAAAAGTGAAATGGAAAGTGGGGCAACAGCCTTCTGTGCCTTCCATTGCAGCGTTTTTTGTTCAGAAGTTGTGGATTTAGAGTTTAGTTGTCGTCAGAGTTAGGCTTCGGAAACAAGACTTGGACTTAAGGACGCAATATCTTTAATTTAGGATTGCTCAAGGATTGCGTGGAGACTCTACATGAGAGGCGGAGATGTGCCAGATCCACAATGTGTACTCAAGGTAGCAGGATTCATTATCCGAACCTTCACCTTTTCGCTAAGTTCCTTACACCCTCCTGTGCCGGAGAATAGCGAGATTCTTGATTAATTGCTTGCCAAGATCCTTCCGACCCTTTACCACTGAAGCCAACATGTAGGGTTTAGAGCTAGCCGGTAGGCCGCATAGCCAACTCTTCAGATCTCTTGGTCTCGGAAATGATCACGACCACAACCACCGCCACCGCCGCCAGCACGGTCAGCACCGCTACCACTACAGCGACTGCTACTATTGTTATTAGCTACTTACTGCTTGTACTACTTCATTCAGTATCTTCTGTAAATGATTCGGAAAAACAGTTTCAGTTAAGAGGTACTGGCTTGGTGGTGGGTAGATGCAAGCCGCCTCCCTGCCAGGGCAGAGGCTGATCGCCAAGCGTGGCGAAAGCAAGCAGACGAGGCCCGAAGTGATTGCAACTTAGTAACTTAGGCGATTATATTGGGTTATATAAGGGTTTCATTGGGATAGCTACTATTTAGGGTTTAGGGCTTAGGATGTGTAGGGAGTGTGTGGGGGGGGGGGTTTTGACGAACATGCCTCGGGCCTTCACCTGAGATACAGTCTGAACTCCCCATATCCCCTTCGTAGTCCCTTCAACGAAAACCCTATACAATTTCCTATGTATCACCCTTAAAGAATTTAGACTCTCTTTACACACTTGTTTCAGGGTTCAGGGCCTGGGATGTAGGGAAGGTAGGAAGACAGTAAGCGGCTAGTGTAGATCCAGTCCTTCATCTCCTACTGGCACAAGGTAAATTTGGGCGTAGGGTTTAGGGTTTAGGTTCAGGACGCGGTGTTCCGGTTTGAGGGCTCTTGACTCAGCAGTTAGGGATTAGCATTTGGGATTAGAAATGGGAGGGAAGAGATCCCTACGAATTGGAGATTGGGTGAAGTGGGGCTTCAACTTATGGGTTTTAGATTAGGCTAGGCTTATGTTACATGTTCAACATGTTGTGGCTCCCTACAGTGTACATTCCTGGTTTCTACTTTCTGGTACTTCCCCGTCGTTATCAACGTCCATGGTACTGTTAGTCACTAGTACTGTGTGATGATTACTGCAATCACGAGATTAGATTTGTTCACATTACGGTAAGCGTCTACAAGCCCTATCATAGTCTTACCCCTGCTAAAGGCCGAGGGGGGAAGTGCATGTAGGGATTACTATAGGAACTACATGGGGATCAGTACAGGGATCCACTCCCCCTCTGCCCTTTAGGTACCCTCGAAGCATGTGGATGCCTTTCTAAGCCCTGGCCGGATGCGTTTCTAGACCCCCGCCTCTTGTGGCAAGATTGAGGGCGGCATTGAAGTCTTGCTTCGGATTGCAAAAACTCATGCGCTCGCAAGCTCGCGCAAGGGCGGGCGCAAGAGCAAAAAGTTCCCAATTCAATACATTAAATGCGTTTGAATGCCCGCGCATGCAAGACGGCGCAGGGGTGGGCGCAAGGCAATCTCAGCGCTGCGGCTCTGATACTAGAATTTAGAACAGCATACAAGTCACGATTTCAGGCCGAAATAGGCCGACCGACTCGTGGAGGCTTAGGCACCGCTCCCTGCGCAATAGAGCACAGACCTTAACATCAATTCATACCCTGGGTCTAGGGAAAAGTGTGGGGAAGGTCAAAATTATAGTCCCTTGTAGATGCCACGGAGCCAAATGCCAAGGTCCAAGCCGAAGTTCTGAAGGCAGAACAGCAGAAGTACGAAGCAGCGACACGACCTCGGTACAGTGGACTGGAATGGAGAGGGGCACAGAGGAGGGTTCCAAGAAGGGGTGTGTGTTAGGGCTTCAGGGCCTTGGAGCAGGGTCTAGGAGTTATAGTTCGAAGTGAAAGGTGCAAGTAAAATGTGCAAAGCTTCGGCTTCTCGGGTTCTGGATGTGCATTCTTTCGGGTTGTTTCTTTCCAGTTTACTGGTTGAACGCTGATCGTTTAGCGCTGGAGCCAGTAAATGATTTGAACTACTCCCAAGTTGAATCTGAACTTCAGGATGTCCTCTGGAATCAGCACGACCTCCTGCCGATTGTTGCTCAGACAAGCGAGTGCTCACTAACAAGTACATTGAGTGGTGTTGAGCCTTGTTGTGGATCAAATGTTCAGTCAAGGCCCTGCCAGGCCACTGAATGCGGCAGAAAAGCATGTGCCTCGATTTGCAGCCGCGAGTGATGGCACCCGGAAACTGCGGAAGCAGCCCAGCTGACGGGCAGTATGAAGGGCGGTGGTAACACTTGACACGATCTCACGAGAATCCACGCATGGTACGCTCGCTGCACACAAAAAACAACTCAAAGGACTCTACACAGAAGAATGAGTGTTCAAGGAAAGGCGTGCTTCTGCCTAAAGAGCGAAAGGTTACATCATCCCTCTACCTAAGCCTTCCAATTGGAGGGTAGGGAGGGTAGGTGCTCCGCTTCCCAAGTCAGATGCATATTCTTAACGCTTGGAGCCCTACCATGTAGTAGTAGCTCAGTATACTTCGGGCAAATGCCTGTGTTGTCTATCAGTTCAAGTAAGTCAAGCACTTGAGTGAATTCAACGTTTTGAATTTCTTCAGTTGCTTAAATTGCTTGCGTTCAGTCAAGTGTGTTTTGTGAGCGCTTTTGGTCTGAGGCTTCAGGCCCAGACTGAGGAGCAGAAGAGGCCAGACGGTTCAGGGACTGAGAATCCAAAAAGGGATTCAGGGTTTACGGACTACGGACTACTTTAAGGTTCAGAGCAGCTCAGAACTGAAGGTTATGCCTAAGATACACTGGACCTAAGGCACGTAGGGGTCCGTTTGAGCCGTAGAGTTCGGCGGTTAAGGTGCCTTCCTGCGGTTTTGCGGTTGAGGTGTACCTGACATATAGCTTCATTGTTTGTGTTGTTCATTTTTTGAGGGGGCTTTCACCCAACAAGAAGCTGGGATGTTGTAAGTCTTGCCCTTTGGAAGTGATCTCAGGCCAGCTGGTGTATGGAGCGTGGGGCAGGATTCTATCCCAATCGTAGCACTCCCCCACCTCCCCCCACATTTATCTGTCATTTGTGGTGGGAGTGCGGGACTGCAAGGGCTATGGCCGAAACAACAGGGATGTCCCATGCTACCTCATTCGAACTGGGTGCTACAGGTGAGGGGTTGAAGGGCATTCATGGTTGTTGAAAATTGAACGACTCCGATGAAAACCCACAGACATGAATCCTGCGTTGTCTGCCCGCAAGTCAAGACCTCCTCTCCAAAAGTTCAAATCCCATGAATCATCACCCTCAGCTGCCTCCAAGTTCTTTTGCAGGCACCAGCACCGACTCCTTGTCGAGCGGAAAAAGGCCCTGATAAAGGCGCGCCGTATTTGGGATGCTCTGTTTGGGCATTTGCTCAACTTACAGGACAGTCTGATAGTGTGGCAGAGGGTCGTGGTAGCCTTTCAGTGCTGCTAGAGGTTGGCTCTGCGATTTCTCGCGTGCTTTAGAAACTTTGAATACTGATGTGGACTTGCAGCGCCACTATTCATCCTGTGATGTTTATTGTTGCATTCTTGTTATGGTCCTGATGATGATGATCATCATCATGATGATGATGATGATGACGATGACGACGATGACGATGATGGCCATAACGACAAGGAGTAGGATGCAGCCGGTGACCAGCATTAAGAAATGTGGCACCCTTGCAACTCTCTTTGCTGACAGGATAGCAGCCTCATCTACCCCCGGACACAGAGAACTCCAGTAGTTTTCAGAAATACAGTCATTGGCAGGCGAACGAGTCGCGACATAAAGCCCAGGAGCTACGAAAGCGAGTGGACAGCCCAGAGCGCTTCTGTTGATGGAAGAATAATGAACCACCTGGGACCCCTAAATTACCGTAATTCCTAGGACTTCAGGAAGGATTTGGTGCAGCAACAGTGCAATGGATTCATAGTGCTGATGTGGTCCCAGGACACCCTTAGAGGCCGGTGTTCAGGAAAATGTCTTTTGAGATTAACTTCAAGCCAATATGGGAGTTGCATGCAACGCGTACGACCTTGATCTACAATCCTATCTTTGAATGAGTGGCCGAAGACTACATTATATACAGGGTTATCCCGATGAGCTTGTAGATGTCCATGGTGGTTTGGTATTGGTGGTACCTCAGGCTATCTGATGGGAGATGTGGTCTACGTGCTTCATTCCAAACCTCAAGGTTTGCAATGCGAGAATGATGAGAAACTTCAATGCCTATGGCGCCTTATAAGAAACCGGTAAAAATGCGCATGAATTCTCTTCAATTGCTTCTCCGTGGATTGAGGATTTAGGGGCTCAGGGTTCTGTGTAGAGAACAAAGTACGAAGCAACCGCCCGCAGGGACAATTAAACGACTTACCAATACAGGCATAAATTCATGCATTCTTTACCACTTTGTATAGACTGAAGCCCACGCTGCAGACACGATTTTCAGGTTTTGCTTCTGCAGTCTGAGAAGGCTACTGCCATCCGCTTGTCGCTGGAGCACGCTTCATTTAGCATTTGAGCTATAGTCTAAACTCCTGAAAGGGGGGGGTTATATAGGGGATTATATAGGGGTATATTATAGGGGTTATTAAGGGGGATACTAGGAGTTTAGACTACAGCTCATTTAGTGTTTTGAAGTTTAGGGTTTGGGATTTGGGTCTTTGGGTTGGGGTGTAAATCCGTGGCTCTGTGCTCATTCCTTACAAGCTTTGAGGGGCCAACATCTATGGGGGTTTCTTGAAATCAAGGGTACCTTCTTGAGGGTCCACATAATAAGGAACATAATATATGAGGGTCCATATTGGGATTCCCTTATTTGGGGAGCTGCCCTACCTGTGGTGTGCGTTTTGTTGGAGTGATGCCTGAGGGCGGAAAGGCAAAAATTAGACCCCCTAAACCCTACCAGGGATGGAGGGAATCTTGGAACATGTAGGAACCCCGAAATATTGTCTGTACTTGCTGAGGCGAAACATTGTCTGTACTTGCTGAGGTATAGAGTAAAATAGGTGGTGCAAGATTCCATCCATCCACAGTAGGACCAGGATTGAAACATTCCGAGTCAAGGGGTGTGTTTTGAATTCCTTTCTTGGGCCCGGATACTAGCCAGCTGTTGCGCTTCTCACGCCAGGGTCACGGGTTGAAATGATCGTAGACTTGCTCAAGATGACCGGCCATTTTTCAGGGCCTCCCAGAAAATCTGCGAATTTTGGATATTTTGGGGGCCTTTGCTTTTCAGAAGCTCCAACTTGCAGCCTTGCAACAAGGAGTTCATCGTCATGGGAAGTATTCTGGGAACCCGGAACCGTCGCCTTGATACACTCATGGAAGCACTGCTTGGCTGAAGCCAGTGGGCTTTTTGCTTTTTGTAGGGACTATGAGATTTTCACGAAAGTCATTCTGATGGGGCTTAGGCTTTAGAGGATTTAAGAGCCTGAAATAATGGGGGGGAAGAGCAGTCCTCCTGTTGTAACAAATAGCTGCCACTCTACTCTGCTCTAGGGATGTTGGCCGACGTAGTGGTTTCTTACAAACTCCTGAAACATTCCCCCTGGATTCCCTCATACTTTCCGCCATGTGCTCAAATGAGAAAACCTAAGAGCATTTTTCCACTCGATAGGGAAGAGTCATTGTTCGGGTGGGTGGAAGGTTCACTCATCGTTCCTGTAGGTCGTCCTCATAGCGACAGGAAGCATAGCAGTTACCTTCGTGGAAATTGCCCAGCTGTGCTTCGCAGTGCAAGCAGCACAAGGTCCCCCAGAAGTACCCCATAGAGACCCTATAATACCACAATCCCCACTGGAGGGACTTTCGAAAGGGACTCCAATCGCTGGATCTTAAGCTTGTCTCTCTGCGGCTTGCTTCTATCCCATGATTACCAGAGTCCGTTGGAATGGACCCCGGTTATATGAGCGAAGGGAACTAGGAACTAGCTTAACGGCTGGATGTGGTTCGAGAGCGTTGGCGTAGGGGTCCACCGCAGTCTTCAGCCTGTGCACGTCTCCCAATCCATGGTGTTAAAGGTGACTGCCATAAGTGGCCCTAATCGATGTCCAAACCCAAGACTGCCCTCTAGGGATGGGCTTTTGTTTCCAAACCTCGGGCCCTGACCAATTCTCAGGTGTTCATTGATCAGGGTCTAGTGATCCAAATCATTAGGTGCCAACGTTGCCTGCGGATTTCACTGCCTCAAGGATCAACTTTGACAACTATCTTCCGTTCCCGCAATCACAAAGTCGACATGCAGTCAGAACAGGAGGGATGCCTAGCGAATGCTTTCGGCACTGTGAACCAACATATTTCTTTTTGGCTGCGGGCAGGATGAAGTCCTTTAAATGATAGCAGAGCTTTTTTCCAAGTGTGAAACTTTCCGTTTATCATGCTAGTTTCTTTAGAGCCAACATCAGGGCTGTTCTGGCCCCACGTCGCCTGGTCTACGATTAACAAGCAAAGCTGTCCGAGCGTGTCCTAATTCCACTCTCTGATGATATGACTCTGCCTGGAATCCGTTTGTTGCACTCTGACTTTGTTGCCTCAATCCTGAACCTTAAAGCTCAGCCCTCTAAACCCTAAAGCCCCCACTCGCCGCCAGGTGCGAAGAGAACAAACGCTACTTCGAACAGAGGATCTCTGAGTTCAGCATGATGGCAGTGGACTCAGGGTCATGGCGCTTAGGGGGAGTTTCGGAATTCAGTGTACTGGCATGTCGGGAAGGTATCAGAGTTTGGAGGCTAGCCGTGCAGAATCTGACTGAGAGGTTCAGGACAAGTAGCTTCAAGCTTTGGAGGCGAGGAAAATTCAATTTTGGGCTTCAACCTCCGGTAATTAGGGCGCCTGTCGAGCAGGTCTGACCTGAAAGTTGGCCCCCAGATCAGGTTTCCCTGATATACCTTTCAGACTTTAAGCATGAAGGGCGCATTCTGAAAGAGGGTCTCTTGAGGGGAACTAGCTACAAGTCCTTCAGCCAAGCCCACACTTGCAAACGTGGGTCGCATTTCAGGCTGGAGTGCCTTGTAGTCTTTGCATCTGCTCCCAAGCAGCCTAAACCCTAAACCCTAAATAGTAGTTTCTATCTTCTTTTCACTATCCTAATATGACCCCAATATAACCTAAACCCTATTATTATCGTAGTTTTCATTTTCTTTTCCATTATCCCGACATAACCATGTAATCCCTTAATGGCTTTTGGAGCCACAGCTAATAGTGGAGCGTGGAGCCTGGAGCCTGGCATCTGGTAAGCTTGGTAAGCAAATTATACCGCCAGGGATGTCACGCAAGTCAGGGTTCATTTTGGGATCCCATAGTAACAATCAAAGGATTACAGTATTGTGGGGGTCAGAGGGGGATCTGCTAGATTCCAACCTCCGACCCCAAGGTCTTCAGTCCCGAATATAAGCGGTCCCACCCCACCCGAATCCTGTGCATCGCGGCTGAAGCCTGGCGAGACATGACGGAAGTGCTTGTCATGGGCAACAACGCCACTGATGTTGTAGGAATTGTTGGGTACTTGAAGCTAGATGACAGCTGCCATGCTTTCAGCTCCATTTAGGCTTGCTTAGTAGTCCGTTGCACATGGCGCTAGAATCTGACAGGCCTTCTACGGTTCAAAGGGTAGCGAACTGAACCCTACCCTATTAGAGACTGAGCCAGGGCAGCCTTGAGGGATCTAAGCTCCAGATTGCCTGAAACCTGTGGAATCATGCTAGTTAGCCCGATTAAAGAGACATTGTGGCAATGGCTGCAAGGATCCCAGGCCAAGTGCTCTTGAGGGCTTGAAGAGACCTTGGTCGCATCTGGGGCGTTACAGCAACGATCCGGGTGTCAACCGTGAAGGTTTCGAATCTTTACCAGCCCAACCCTCAATGCAGAACCCTGCGTTCAGATGTAGCTCTGGCATGTGCAGGGCGCCAGACCAGCAGCACCACAGATGGTAGAGCAGCTCGCCTAAACTGTTGGTCTGGAATTGACAGCTTTGGGGGTGAAGGTTGTTGTTGCCTCAAGTCCTGCGTAACGGCGCTGTCCATAAGGTGTCGTAGGACCTCGTTGTTGCTGACACGCATGGAGGTTTGGCCACTTTACGCTCTTCACGCAGGGTTTGTCGCCTTTGCAGCCACAGGGAATTACATACAGCAAGAGGACTCCTGTGGGCTTACTCCACTCCATAACTGCATCGGGTCATCAGAACATCCATGCCCAAACAAGAATAGTGGGACATCCCCAAGAGCATTCCGTGAGTAGCACAAACCATGGTGATGCCCGTCCCCGCCGCAACCGGAACATCCATGCCCAATACCTGACAAACTCCACCAGCAAGATCCGTCGCGAGACCCGATCACTTTCGCAAAGGTCCAGCACGGCAACCGCTATCTTTCTGCACAAGGTAAACAGTCCAGCTTGCCAGCGATCGCGATTACACGAAAATGTTTAAAGTATTCGTCTTGGTTGGTGGAAGTTTCAAGAAAATTCTGGCAGCATGGGGAGTTTGGGAATTTGGCGCGTGCTCACACGCGCTTTATCACGCATACAATGACGCGCACTTACTTGGTGCTCGGCCGTTAAAACGGGTTCTTTGGTGTTGGGATGCCGTGTTTGCTTGATAAGTAGCTTGAGGCGTTGGGTTTTCCTGGGTGTTCCATCTACAATCTACAGTAGGGGAGTAACAGTCAGTAGTAGCACTACGTTCCACGGCTACCCCAGCCCTACTAGTGCTGCTACTACTACAGCATGATAGCCAGTCCCAACACGCTCAACTAAAAGGATCTTTCACTTTCTGGCCGCTTCAAGTCAGGAAAGATCCATGAAGGATAACTCT